ACAGACCTTATACCAGCAGCAATTGCAGCAGCCTGGTCAGTAAACATTGATAACGGTCTCACACCTCCCATGCATTTCAAAAACTGATCGAAAAGCCATTCAAATATTGTCGTTGTTTCATCATATAGAAGAGCAGCCGCAAAGACAGTCAGTTGGTGATGATTGTTGAAACCAACAAACAAAGCTACATAAACATAACAAAATGTGAGTAAAAACAATTCTACCAACACATACCATGTGGTAAAAGGTACGAATAACAATAATACCAACCCATACCATATGGTAAAGACTCATACCATGTGGTAAAGACTTCTAAGAACAAAAAAAAAACAATCCGCACCAGACTACCATATAGTACACACTTCTAACAACGCAAAAAACACCACAAATAACCTTGTTACCAACCCATACCATATGGTAAAAGACTTTTAAGCACAAAAACCACCTCAAATAACCTTGTTACCAACACATACCATATGGTAAAATACTTTTAAGAACAAAAACCACCTCAAATAACCTTGTTACCAACACATACCATATGGTAAAAGACTTTTAAGCACAAAAACCACCTCAAATAACCTTGTTACCAACACATACCATATGGTAAAATACTTTTAAGAACAAAAACCACCTCAAATAACCTTGTTACCAACACATACCATATGGTAAAATATATTTAAGAACAAAAAAAAATATGATACAGAATGATAATAATAATACTCATACAAACTAACAAACACAATAATAAACAACAAACTAGAAAACATACCTAGTGGCCGATACTCTTTGTTAGTCCGGTAAGTAGTATCAAAACTAATTGAATCACCAAAATAATGATAATCCATCCTCATCTTCCCATCTGCCCAAAAAATACTAGCAATGTTCTCTTCAACATCAACCTCCACCTCATGAAAGAACCCAGGATCCAGCTGTGCTTGACGTCTAAAGTATTCAAGCAATGCAGTCGCATCACCATACTCCATTGATGACGTCCTAACCGTTCGCAGATGGTTCTTCAAATCATTCTTTGTGAACCCAACAAACTTCCGACCACCACCAGCCCTACTAATTGCATTATACGAAGAAGTCACACCAATACCAGCAACATCATTCACCTCTGCCAACATCTTATACACAGGAGCCATTCGTCTGCTGGATCTCACATAGTGACGCAGAGACTCAGGAATCATGTCATGGTTGTGCACATTATACCAACGATAGATCTTGTAGCATTTAAACTCTTTAAACCACCTCAGTCGTATATAAGCACCATTACATCCACCCCTGAGTTCTGGAACATTACGAACACGAACCGTCGTATCAACAACACCTGCATTATCAGGGTTATTCTCGCTACTCTTTTCCAACCTTCCTTATTGCAACAATACTTGATATAATATACAGCTGAAGAACCACCATTGAGCTTCGGACACGCTGATTGGTTATAAATCCTCACACCAAAACCTTCATGATTCCCATAATCAACATAAAAATTATATGCATCATCTGGTGTATTGAACTCTAAGTCCTTCCAAGAATCACGAACAGTAGGATCTATACCATTGAAACCTACAAACATTATGAAACAACATATTAAATGGATTCCACACCACAACAGTATGAAATCTCAATGTATACCAATAATTACAGCCATGATACAAGAGTTACCACCATGGTATGGCATGGTAAAATCAAATTACCACACTATATGGCATGGTAAAATCAAACTACAACACTATACCACATGGTATGGCATGGTAAAATCAATTATCACACAGAACCCTCACATTTAACTTCCTAATTACCACATTTTACCACATGGTAATGTACTGTAAAATCAATTACCACATGATAAGGCATGGTAAAATCAAATTACCACCCTATACCATATGGTATGGCATGGTAAAATCAAACTACCACACTATACCACATGGTATGGCATGGTAAAATCAAACTACAACACTATACCACATGGTATGGCATGGTAAAATCAATTATCACACAGAACCCTCACATTTAACTTCCTAATTACCACATTTTACCACATGGTAATGTACTGTAAAATCAATTACCACATGATAAGGCATGGTAAAATCAAATTACCACCCTATACCATATGGTATGGCATGGTAAAATCAAACTACCACACTATACCACATGGTATGGCATGGTAAAATCAAATTACCACACTATACCATATGGTATGGCATGGTAAAATCAACTATCACACAGAATCCTCAAGTTTAACTTCCTAATTACCACATTTTACCACATGGTAATGTACTGTAAAATCAATTACCACATGATAAGGCATGGTAAAATCAAATTACCACACTATACCATATGGTATGGCATGGTAAAATCAATTATCACACAGAAACATCACATTTAACTTCCTAATTACCACATTTTACCACATGGTAATGTACTATAAAATCAATTACCACATGATAAGGCATAGTAAAATCAAATTACAACACTATACAAACTTCAATAAACAAACAAATTTGCATATCTTACCTCCTGATTCACCAGAGTTTGCTGAATGATCAAATCCAAGATCAATAGAGAAGAAGCAGTTCCAACAGCACTAGATGAAGAACCAGATCCTACAACGCTGGTTGAAGAACCAGATCTATCAATTGGAACAACATCGCCACAATTTACGTTACTCATCTCACCAGAATACTGCCAAAACACCAAAACACAAAGAACATAACACATGAACAAGCTCGATTAGCTAAACATAAACAAGCTCGACTAGCAGCAATGAAAAACCTCCAACGAAACCAGAGATCAACAGAAAACTCGATTAGCTAAACAGAAAGAATAAAAAAAACTAATATCTAACCTCGTCGTCGATCAATTATGGAGAATCAAAAAAGATTCGCCGTCCCCTGTTTCGCAGCGGCTGCTCGCAGTTTCTCTCTACAAAAACCGAATCCAACTTGCGCACACGTCGATCAATTATGGAGAATCAGAAAGCTCGATTCGAAGCTGCTGCTCGCAGTTTCTATCGCCGTCGATCAACCATGGAGAATCGCCGTCCTTATTTCTCAGCTGCTGCTCCCCCTGCTCGTAGTTTCTCTCTCCAAAATCCGAATCCAACTCACGCACAGAAAGATTTGCAACGGACAAAGAGGGAAAGTCATTTAATTCAAATATAAAATATAGGACAAAAATGCCCCTGACCGTGGACAAAAAACACCGCATCAATCACAGCCACAAGATCCGTCCGGCCAAGATCGACGGTCCCTATGTGGTTACTCACGGGTGAGTAACAAAGGGTTACTCACCCTATCCTAAGCCCCTTCATCCGGCTCCCAACATCAACCATCCAAAGCAGACACAACATCCCCTGAAACACCAGACAGGGAATACGATCTGGCATGTATGTCCTGGTTATGTGTTCTTGTGGAAAATCGACTCTTCAAAGTGTGAAACCAACTATTCGCCTGGCTCGGATCCTCCATATTTGCAACCCACAGCTAGTCTGCAACCTCGAAACGCTTCTTCTTACCTCGATAACCATCTACACTCGTTGAAAATTACACCGCCACCGCTGGATCTTATGCTGATGGTCCATCAGTGATGGAGCGGGGGTCTGGGGACGAGGAGAGGATAGGAGAGAAGAGAAGAGGGGAATCGATTCCCCTACCGCCTCCTTCATCTCCGCCTCGCCGCTCTGCGTCAAGCCATCCCCTCCCTTCCCAATTCAATCTCTGGCCACAAATCCTCAACTCCACAACTCCCTAGCTGACCAATTCCCAATTTATCTTCACCATCTATGTTGAAAGTATTTCAATTACACAGTCCGCTTACCCGCTCGCCCACCGACGAAGCTCCATGAAATAAGCGGAGGTGGGTAGGTGCTTCAAGGGGAGATTGAGAGCGCGACATGGGGGAGAGGGGGGAGAAGAAGGAAGCGGCAGGCGAGAGGTGGGAATTTCATGAGAGATTTAGAGAGAGGAATGGCGGAAGAGGAGATCTGGGCTTTTATTTGCTGGTGGTGGCGTTGAGCTCACTTGTGAGATTTTTCCAGAAATAGCACCTTTAAAAAAAAATTACAAAACTAGCACCCTTCCAAAACTAATTACAAAACTAGCACCTTTTTTATTGACCGCACCCTTATGATGCGTTTTAAATATAAACCGCATCCTCCAGGTGCGTTTTATATGTAAACCGCACCTGGAGGGTGCGTTCTATTCTGGTGGGCCAAAACCGCACCTTGGCCATGCGTTTTCATGTCTGGCCTACATGAAACGCAAGGCCGAGGTGCGGTTTAGGCCTGACCTACCTAAACCGCACCTTAGTGATGCGGTTTATTCCTCCAAGAACAAACCGCATCCCTAAGGTGCGGTTTGGCAATATAGACCGCACCCCCCCAGTGCGATTTACGTGTCAATAATTTTCCGACACCCGACACAGCCATGCAGAGAATTATGGACGTAGGGCTGCATGGCAGACTAAAACCGCACCCTAGAGGTGCGGTTTTCACAATTTTTTCCCCTATATAAGACTTGCCGGAAAACCTCTACTCTTCACACCTCTCATTCTCTCTTTCATTTTTCTGTTGTATATCTATATTTATTTAGTGTGTTTGCCATTAAGATTAACTCGTAAGTTTATTTTGTGTTACTTTTTATGCCATTAAGATTAACTCGTAAGTTTATTTTGTGTTACTTTTTATGCCATTAAGATTAACTCGTAAGTTTATTTTGTGTTACTTTTTATGCCATTAACATTAACTCGTAACTTTATTTTGTGTAACTTTTTATTGTTATTTGTGATTTTTATGATATTAACTAAACTACGGTTTGTTTGTGTGCAGATGGCATTCCGTCAGTTAATGCTTGGCTTACGGTGGAATGGTTACACGGAAGACACCGGAAAGGGGGCCACCTACGTCGGTGGCAATTTTCAGAAAATAACGGTCGGTACCAGACCGAAGCTTGAAGACCTCCATCAAATATGCACTGACGTTACTTGCATGGATGGCACGAGGAGGGTAGATCGTATGGTGTACCGATACCCAAACAGAGCAACTGGGTCATTGTGGCATGAGGAATATACCATAACCACTCAAGATGACGTAGATTCCATGCTCGAATTCTTGAGGTCCAACAAATTGGCCAAAGCCGAGATGTTCGTTTACACCGAGCCAGCCGTTGGTCGTGGAGGTCATTCTGGACACGGTCAAACATCTGGTATCCATGGTGGAGGTGAATTATATGACGATCATCCCTACCAAAGTTACCATGATCCTCATTCCTATTTGCAGTACCAAGATGGAGGGCAAGGTGCTGGTCATCATCAATCTTTCTCGTCATATGAAGAAGAAGTTCAACCGGACATCCCCAACCAAGCACAGTACAACTTCCTGACAGGCAGCGGTAGTTTTCACAACTACCATTATGGAGCTGATGAAGGTGCCTTTCATGAGCAGGATCAGATGGAGGCTGCCACACCAGCACCAGTTAGCGACCCCTCTGATGAAGAAGGAGAGAACAACGTCAGTGCAGACAGCTCAGACCCTCTTGAAGGTGCTGATGATTCAGCACCAGATTCGGATTCAGATAATGATCATGATGTGGCTCCTGACCGTGTACCAGTCCCCTACTACAATTACATTCCAGACGACAATTGGATGGTCGACAGCGACATGGAGCCGCCAGAGGTCCCAATATGGGGCCCACTCACTGGGTTTACGAAGGGCCAACAATTTGGCTCGAAGAAGGATGTGCGGCACGCCCTTGAGACTGAAGCAATGACTCGGCATTTTGAATGGGACACAACTCATTCCAACACCAAAAGGCTCATAGTCAGATGCCGTAATCATCACGAGGGGTGCAATGTTAGGATTCAGGCCATCAACAGCAAGAGACACGGCCACTGGGTCATATCCCGTGCGGTCAACACACACACATGTGTGTCATCCATAACTTCCCAAGGCCATCGACAGTTGAAATCCAGGGTGGTTGCTGCGGCTATCAAGCATCTGATTGAGGCTGAACCGGATCTGAAGGTGAAAGTCATAATCGCTGACATTGCAAGCCGTTTTGGTTATATGATTAACTATAAGAAGGCGTGGCATGGAAAGCAGAAAGCTATGGCCGCCGTCTATGGTGATTGGGAAGAATCATATGCATTCCTTCCCAGACTAATACTGGCATTGGAGGCGTCTAACCCTGGGACTGTATTCTCCCCTCGATACCAAGATGAAGAGATACAACCCCCAGAGGCAGGTAACGAACGCCATTTTCGCAGACTGTTTTGGGCATTCAAGCCTTCTATTGATGGTTTTGGCTTTTGTATCCCTGTGATTACTGTGGATGGTACATTCCTTACCGGCAAGTACAAGGGCACTCTCCTGATTGCCAGTGGGGCGGATGGAAACAGACAAGTCTTTCCTTTAGCCTTCGCCATTGTTGAGGGAGAGAATGCTGATAGCTATGGATGGTTTTTCCGACAAATCCAAATCCACGTCACCAAGAGGACGAACCTGACAATAATCTCTGATCGGCACGCCGGCATTAGAGCAGCCATCTTAGGCCTGGATCCAGCCTGGAATTGGTCCCAAAGGTGGTGCATACGACACTTCAAAAGCAACTGGAACCATCATTTCAAACGGAAGAAGCTAGCTGATAATTTGTGGTGGATTGGTAACCTCTCTATTGCGCTCAATTAACAATATCTTGTAATATCGGGAGTGGTGCACTTGTTAGACTCTTTCTAAAGAGATGCATGCCTAAGGAAATGGGGTTTTAAGCGATTATGATGGTCCTCCCATTTCCTGGGAAAATCGGGTTTTAAGCGATCTTCGGATCCCCCCTTTTTCTGTCAAACAGGCTGTGTTTCTAAGGAGATGTATACCTCTCCTAAGAGTCTAACGAGAGTCTGACCGTGCAGTTTGAAATTGTACTAAATTGAGGATCATTGACTAACATACGACTTTTCTGTGTGTTATTCAGCGGTTGCATACCAGGAGAAAAAATTTCAGGAGAAGTTGGAAAAGCTGCGCGAGTTATGCCCTGAAGGGGCACAGTGGCTGGATGGACACGACCTATCCATGTGGACATTTCATAAAGATGGAGGGAAAAGATGGGGTATTGCCACAACCAACTCAAGTGAGAGTATCAACTCTGTCTACAAGGCCGTCCGTGCACTGCCAATCTCTGCCATTGTGGAGATGACATTTTGGAAAACGAATGCATGGTTCGTGAACCGTCTCCACTGGGCAAGGACAAACGAGGCACAGGGAAAGGTCCATGCCTATAAAGTCACTGAAATAATGGATAGTGACAATCGCAAGAGCAGTCGACATAGTGTAACCGTTATGAATCGGGCAACTGGTGAGTATAGCGTGACGACCGGACATCGGGAGGATGGTAGACGGGGGGGTCACCGTCACGAAGTTTTGGTCAATTTCAGGACCAAAGTTGGTGAGTGCTCATGCCAGAAGTATCAGGGGAGAGGATGGCCTTGTTCTCATGCAATGGCCGTAATTAAAAAGAGGAGCAAAGACCCCCGTCACTTCGTTAGTCCATTCTTCAATATCGACTCACTCAAAAGCACCTACGGACGGAGTTTCCGTGCATTGCCTGATGAAGCTTATTGGCCGCTGTACGAAGGGAAATTGATCGTCCTGCCATTCGGACAGAGGCGTGAACTGGGGCGCCCGAGGAAAAAGAGAATTCAGAATGAAATGGATCAAAGTGGAAGACCACCACGAGGCCCAAGACGGTGTTTCAGTATGCAAAGTTCCGGGACATGATAAACGAAGGTGTCCAGGACCGATTGGCCCGCAAAATCCGGGTGATGATGTCCCGGAATCAGCTAATGCGACATAATTTTCGATTATCATTCGTCAAGCTATTTGTAACTCTTACGTTGCATTTAATTGTGTATTGTTGATTGAACGAATTTGGATTATATCAAGTCAAGAGGAATCATGATAATAACAATTTGATGAAACTCAACGAAATACGATTGATGGAATTAAAGGGAATAGTTCAAAGTACATAGAGATAAAAATCAACTCAAAGTACATCTCAAGGAAGTCCACGAGCGGATGCGGAACCCACAGTTTTCTTGCTCCTTGTACGTTTGCCGACGGGAGTAACAACGGGTGGTGGAGGTGGCAAGTTTCGAGCGGCCGAGGTAGTGTGGCGCTCGTCGGTGCTATGTCGGCGGGGAAGCGGCACTTCCGGGGTCGAGCGGGCGACATCGGCGCTCATACGGTGAGGAGTAGGAGGCCACTGCTGACCAGGAGGTCGATTCCATGGGGTGAACTCGTGTTGGCCTGTGGTGGAGGAGCCATCATGAAAAGTCCCAGATGATGTTTGGCGGGGAGATAGCCGGGAATCGAAGTATGCTCCGCGGGGATCGAAGTATGCTCTGCGGGGATCGTAGTATGCTCCGCGGGGATCGTTGTATGAGATCGGGGTGGGAGATAATGGGGCTTGGTGGAAACTCTGAGGAATAATGGTAGGTCGAGCGGGGATCGTAGTATGAGCTTTGATGGTGATCGTTGTGGGAGAAGAGGCGGAATTCTTGGGATGAAGTCGGGCCGCCATCTTGTGAAATAGTCGGGCGGGGAGATGGGGCGGAGGACGGGCGGGGAGCTTGGGTGGAACTCGGTCCGGCACCTTGGGTTGAACTCGGTCCGGCACCTTGGGTGACAACCAATGGGGGCGGCACTCTCCACCCCCCAAATGGTGTTACCTCGGGCTCGATGGGCCTTTCCCGAACCCTCTTCGGCTTCTTTCTCTCGTATGGTGGTGGGGGTGCGGGGACATCAAGTTGTACCGGAGGTGGTGGGGGTGCGGCACGCGGCGGATATCTACGATGATCCCGGCCCTGAGCTCTGATACAGCCAAGTAGACTGTTTGCAATCCTCCTGATGAAGCCCACATCTTCATTGCCCAACTCATTTCTTCCGGTCGTAATATCTTTAATCCGCTCGACTCCATCAGCCTAAATCACAAAAAAAATAAAAAAACGAAGTTAGAAAGAGATTTTAGGAACCAAGTAATAAATCATAGTATGTTTAGACTGGTTATACTTACTAATGCACCATCGGCCGCACCCTCCGGAGTCATGTAACGCACCGATGTTTGCCGATATCGATCCAAGTATGGGTCATGATACCCCATTCGGCCCACTTGATTTGGAGTGACAATATCCTGTAGTTGTCGGTTCTCCCAAATCGCGATGAATTCCTTCAACTTCGTGGGCCAATCGCGAGTACCTTGCCGACCATCTCGGCCATGGAAGGCCCTTTGACTTTCGGGGACCACCAACGGAATGCACTGTTCCCGACCAAACTGACGCAGGCATCGATCCGGCAAGTGCCACTCCACGGTCCCAAAACAAATTAGAGGAACCCTCGTGCACCATTGCCCGATATGATCGGGGAATTGCTGGAGATGCTATTGTACGATGTTCTGCGGGTATGGATCGTAGACGATCTACAAGAAAGAAATGAGTAACGTAAGATTAATTAATTAGAAAAATACATGTAGTCCCATGAAAAACAAATAGAAATGGATCGCAGTATAGAAGTTACCTCTCCTTCCCAAAGTCGCTCAAACCTCCTCCGATACTCCTCCAACTTGTGTTGGGCAAGGTTGTCGCATGTTGTGTGTCCAAGCCACCTTATTAATAAGACAAGAATGAAACTACAATAACATAAAACACAAGGCAAAATGTGTTATGACTACATGATGGGGTATGAGAAGTTTACCTTCGTCAACCATGTAATTGAGACTTGGTGTTTCCTCAATGGTGGCATGCGATCGGTCGCATCAACGCAACCCTTCACCGGTACTTTCACTCCCAAATGACTATGGATGAAATGCTGCCAACCGGGCATACCGTCACAATCCTCGGGGGGATGATCACTCACGCACACCGGTTTGCCGTCGATGGGCAGATGGGTTAGGATGGCGACATCCTTTAGCGTGATGGTGGCCTCTCCTTCTCTAAAGTTGAAACAATGGGTCTCCTTTCTCCATCTCTCGGCTAATGCGGTGATGAGTTGACGATCGATTTGGATGCCGTTAAAATGCCTAATCGAGTCTAACCGTGCCCTTTTGAGAAATGGCAAGATAGCGGGGTGGAATGGGAGCACATTTGTGGTACCCCTGTAGCGGATTATTGTTTGTGCCTCCTAGGAAAAATGTACACGTTAATTATTATTAGTAAGGGTTTTTTTTCGTATAACTAAATTAATTTAATTAAATTATGCGACATAAAACATAATTTTATTATCATAAAAAGACATTTCATATTATCATAAAACATTGTCAATGAATAATAATTTAAAGAGGTACATACATATTATCGTAAAACAAACATACTGAATTAATTAACATAAATAACATTGTT